TTAACTTTTTTCCAGGTGTATACATAGTGTTAATATAACAAATTGGTTTTCAATGTGTCTCAACAGGCGATTACGTCACTAGTTTGACTTTATGCTATAACTTCACAAAATATAACATTTTGCACATTATACTTTATAGTTTTATCTTATACTAGTTTTAAAAGAGTGGACACTACAATTTCACATATGATCCATGTCTATATTTAATTATGTTGAAAACATTATTTTAACGACTTTCTGTAGGATTTTAACAAATATGCTGTGGCAGTGTTACTATACTTTTACATATGATTACTTCATGAATGTCTAAATTTAGTTATATTAAAATCATTATTTTGTATATTTTAACATCTGTACAGTTTGTTACAACTAAAATTAATAAGTGAATGACCAACTGTTTATCCATCCATTTTCTATAGAATATTCCCTTGAAAATTAAAATTGCATAAAACTTTGAGACTGTCTAATGCTATTAGGCATTGTGCAATGGCAAAATACCTCCATACTTCTTTGTGTACACAAATCTTGTAAAATAATGGAATATATGTCTAAACTGTTCATAGCTTTATACAATGTTCTGTAGGGCACTTACTGTTTTGCTTTCACAAGTAATATATGCATATTATTTGAACGAGACAGTTATTATAACCAATAATGTACTTTTATCATCCTACATGTAAATGTAATAAATGAATGACTTACTGTTTAAAATACCAAATTACATAAAACTTTGACACTGTTTAATGCTAACACGACTATTAGGAAATCACACACATATAAATTAGACACTGACATCACTTTTATTATAAATTAGCCTTTTATCAAGAAGAGAGGGGTTAATAAACATTCACCTTGGTCACAGTTTGACGTGTTTGATATTCAAGGCCACTGATCAGCTTGGTTTTAGAAGATATACAAAGCAGGATGTCAAGTTCAGAAAACCTTTTTGATCTTTAATGTTAGCTCAAACAGATAACACTTTCGTTTGAATAAACGGATAACGTTTATTAAAATTAAAGTCAATTGTATTACACTGTCACTAACTATTGTTATGACAGCGCCTGACACTGGGAGCATGGAGTTTCTGAAAGGATCATGAATTATCGGGGAGGGCCGAGTTTGTTCGAGGCACCCTCTTTTTTTAGTATATAAGCCTGGCGAAAAAACCAGCGCGAGGGCATAGATAGATAGATATGCAGATAGATCGAAGATATAGATAATTGAGTCAAGCTAACAGTAGGCACGGTAAGTAAAGTGTGTAAGTTACTGTGATTTATAGCGTGTGTTATAAAAGAAGTTAAGTTTAACGTACTGATTGAAAATTCTGTGTATTACAAAGTTGTATCCAGGGAAAATTAAAATGGTTTACTTAAGAAAGGACTTTTATCGCTGAACTTCCTCGGAAAGAATTTATACCGGAAATTAACAAACGAGCAGATATGTAACACTATGTATTTATGTTATATTTGATATTCAAAATAAGCTCTACATAATTTTGATGTTCATCATACTTTAATGAAAGTCACTGAAATATAAAAGTCAGTAAACATAGTTCATTATATAGTGATACAAAACAATAAATGTATATTCTCAATATTTGACAGGTTAACGTACAATCATTACATAATTAAATTGACTGTCACCTACAGCTTAAAACTGACATATTTCACCCAAATATAATATCTTCTATATATTTAAGTAAAGACTTGTATCACATTATATAAATTTATCATGTTTACTATCCAAATAAGCTGTACAGTTAGCATACAACTATTATATACTGTGCTCAACATAAGGTCATGCTGTATCAGCCGGCTTAGAATAATTTTCAAAATTAAAGATCGATTCAAATATAATTTATTATATTTATATAAACGTGAAATGTATGATATTTCATAATATAATACAACGAATTATACATTCGAATGGTGACAGAGTTAGCTGTTTCCTATTTGTGTTGATAAGCTCAGTTACAAGTTCAGACATATTATAATATTTAATATCTGTCTAGAACACACTAAAGTTCAGTCAAATCTGGTTAACATTTCTGACATAAACAATATTTATTATTATAATAATTATGACTGAAACAAACATTACTATGTCAAAGAAACACAGAAATTAGATTCATAAGCAAAGAAATATTTGTAGCGATATACTTACGTTTAAAGGCTGGTTCATCATTGTTTCTTCCATGTAATAGAATTGCATCAGTCTGATTATTAGTGGTGAAAGAGACAGGATATTTATATTTGAAATGTTACCCATATTTGCCTGAACTTTAGACTGTTTGTTTTATACAGGTATTAAAAATTAGGATATGTCTGAACTTGTAAGGGAGCTTATCAAAACTAGTCAGAAACAGCTAACTCTGTCACCATTCGAGTTCATAATTTGTTGTATATTTACTATTTATATCTAAGAGCTGAGACATGTGATTAAAGATAAGAAAAAGTATTTGCCGTTTGGAATGTTCTGGCATGAGCCTAGAAGCCACGGAGATGACTGCCATTTTTGGTCATGTCATGTGTAAAGCTACAACACTCAAAACAAAAAGAAAATTCTTATCCAAACCTTCAATCTGTTATGGGACCTGTTGCTCATGGACCTGATGTACCTGTATATACTCCACTGGAGACTCTTGATACAGTTTCATCTGATTCTG